CTCCGCGCTCCCCGATTTTGGCCTTTCACCATTTCTTTTCTCAAAGATCCGTAACTCTGATTAGGCTGAAATTTTAACACGATTTTATCCAGATATTAGCTTTCTTGTGTCCGAAGGACACCTCCAACCGACCTTCGGGGTGGCCACAAGCCCCCTGGCCGCGCCCTGGGTAGGGGGCGCACCTTAAGGGTTTGTGGGCTCCTCGAGCATCGCCTTGCGTTGATTCCACTTTCCAAAATTCACATATATTCCATAAAAAATCTCCATAAGTTTTTATCACGTTTGGACTTCGTTTGATATGGATTTTCTGCGAAACAAAAAACATGCAACAAATAGGAACTGGCACTGGGCAACGGATCAATATGTTAGTCCCAAAAATAATATAAAAAGTTATCAAAAGTATATGAAAGTTGTAGAATATTGGCATGAAATAATCAAAAATTATAGATACGATAGAGACGTATCAGGGAGCTACTCGATGGCGCGGGGTGGCCAAGGGCAGCAGGAATCGACATCGAGATGTGACGATGACGGCAGCGGAATGGAGGGTGCGAGCTGAAACTTCCGCCCCTCCAAAATTTCCTAGTGATTGGGAAGACAGAAAATAGGGCGGCGAAAACTGGACATATGCAGCAGTAGGTCGAAATATTCCACTTCCCCAATTTTTTTCTAGATCTGGCCATTTTTCCGGAACCTATGCATGTCAATTTTTCGGCCCCAAAATGTAAAATCGACTGTTATCGTAATGGGGCGGACATTTATCATAAGGTTGGTCATAGTGGAAATAACTTATACTAGTGTCATGCATATGACACTAGTCTAAGTTATTATAGTGCAAAGTAACATAATAGTAGTGTCATACATGGTTTCATTTATTAGTTTGCGGACTCACCTCGTCTTGGAAAGCGCTATGTTACATTAACATATTATGTTACTCTAAACACATCTCTCCTCATTAAATACATGCCACATAGCAAATTTGTCTTAGAACGCGCTATGTTACTACTTCCTCCGTCCGAGTTTATTAGGCCTAAAGACAACCTCTCTTAGACCAAGACACATAGTAATTTGCTCACATTAATTTTTTCATTTCACTTCCAATGCACTCTCTCACATGCATGCAACCAATGAAAAAACACGCATGAAGTGTATTAATTTCCCAGTCATGGCATCAACAACAATGACTTTCAATGCAACCAATGAAATGGTTACATGCATGCACCTTTCCAAAGCGAGGCCTTATAAAAAGGGACATGCTTGTGACGCTGAGAGGCCTAATTAAACCCGAACGGAGGGAGTAGATAAGTACCCCGCTATGGCCCTCCTAAGACTAGCCACAATGGAGAATAATATACAGTAGTAACACACACATATCTCTAGACCATGTTACTATCTTCATAGTCTGTAGTAATATAAGTGTGGTATTATGCAAAGCTTCATTTATTAGGTTATAGACTCATATTGTATTGGGACATGTGATGTCACAATAACTAGCTAAGGGCATCTTGAATGATTGTAAGATAGTTGTTGGTATACTTCCAACAGTTTGTATGTTAGCTTGTTGGTAAAATATGTCATGTTCTCAACCAACAGCTTAACATACAACTCCAATAGGTTGTATCTATTGCCCAATAGGATGTGAGATAATAAATAAGGTGTTCTCTCATTTTACATTGGAGTTTGTGCAAGGGGTGTTGGTTCATGTACATACAACTTTTCTCTCTTCTCTCATTTATTGTATGACACATCATCAAAAATCCTATATGGCAAAGTTACCAACAACTATCTTACAACCATTGAAGATGTCCTAAATTACTCAAACAACCTCTCTCATTAACTCATTGTTACATATTTCTTTTTGAATTGTTTCGATTGCTTATCGCATGTGTCAGGTAAGCCAACTTACGGAGTTGACTTCATCTTACTCCCACCGTGGCTGGCTTTTGGCCACTCAAACGGACTAATTTTGTGCGTGTTTGGGTCGGCCGTTGGAGTGCCCTAAAGTGGATCGAAGATCAGATATGCGCCGGTTCCCCCCGCCGCCTGCTGTGTACCGTCGCCATCGCCGTTGAGGTCCTCATACGAGGATCGAGTGGTGCTTGAGAAGAGACGACCAAATAAGAGCTGCAATCCCGAATCGACGCAACAGCTCCTTGTCGAGCTGCGATCCAAAATCGAGCGGCTCCTATCGGAATCGCAGTCCGCGATCAAAGCGGCCACCCGTTTAGCCGCAATCCGCAATCGAAGCACCGCAATCAGAAACAGGTCCTCTTTCGATTTCATTCTCCGAGTTGCCACCGGAGGCGGGATCCAAGCCGCCGCATATCTGCCCAAGCGGACACCGCGGGAAGCCACTTGTTTTTAGTGGAGATCAGCAACTCCCCTTGGACATTTGGCGACCGGTGGCCAACCCATCCGTCTCGGCCCTCGGCAAGTCCTCATCTTCATGGTGGTGAGTTTCTCCTCCTGATCTTCTTCCTTTCGCTAGGTTCTCTTACAACATCACCCGTAAAATAAATTACTATCAGCAATGATAATATGTACTCCCTCCGTAAACTAATATAAGAGCGTTTAGATCACTAAAGTAGTGATCTATATGCTCTTATATTAGTTTACGGAGGGAGTAGTAACCATAATCAGAAGTCGTGTTCAAAATTGTGTCTTTACTGTGAAAATTATAAAATCTGTTTGATTAAAATTGTTTTTTTTCCTGTGGGTAAGTACAAAAATTGCATTTTTTATGAGTAATTATTACCTATACAAATCTAAGACAAGCTTTTTGGGATGGACGGATTATAAAATTCATACAATCAAATTTCCATCTTTTTGTTGTAAGTACTCCCTCCGTTTCTAAATATAAGCCTTTTTAGATATTTTATTTAATACGGATTACATACGGATGTATATAGATGTATTTTAGAGTGTAGATTCACTCATTTTGCTCTGTATGTAGTCCATATTGGAATCTCTAAAAAGGATCATATTTAGGAACGGAGAGAGTAGTTGTATAAACACTGTACAATCGAAACTGTATCTTTCTTTGGTAAAGTATAAAAATTGTATTGTCAAAACTGTGTCTTTCGGTGCGTAAGTATAAACAAAATTTGTGTATTTCTATTGGGTAGTACTCCTAAATTGTACACTAAAAATTACTCCTTTTGGAGTATTAATTTTGTATAATCAAAATTGCATCTTTCTGTGCGGTAGTATAAAAATTGTACACTAAAAATTGCGCCTTTCCATCGGGAAGTATTAATTTTGTGTCTTTCTATTGGGGTAGTATAAACAAAATTTGTGTCTTTCTACTGGGAAGTACTCTCTCCCCACGTCACTTATTTTGGGACGGAAGGGAGTATGAATTTTGTATAATCAAAATTGCATCTTTCTTTATGGTAGTATATAAAATTTATACACTAAAACTTGCGTCATCCATGGGAAAGTATAAACTTTTTATCTTTGTTTGTGGGAAATATCAAAATTGCATCTGTGATGAGGCTAATTAGAAATCAACTCTGATTCCTTTCCGTATGAAATGTAGGAGGGCCATGAAGATGATAGGCTCAGCAAGTTGCCTGATGACCTTTTGCTCAACATTGTCGAGCGACTTGATATTGCTGACGCCGCACGAACCACCATCCTCTCCAGACGTTGGAAGGACGTCCTTGCTAGACTCTCAAAAGTCGTAATAAGGGCAGGTTCTTTTGAGTCCAAGCATACAACGAGCAAGAAAGATGATATAGTTCGGTCCAACACCACCATTCTGGATGCAACCCGGAGCATACTGGAAAGGAGGGCTGGAAGTCTATACACCATTCAGCTGTTGTGCATGCAATTCTACTTGGGAGATGAGTCCATTTTCATTGGCCAGACTGTTGCCAACAGCATAGCAACACAAAAGGTTGCTTCAGTTGACTTTACAATCTTGACGAAGGTGCGTAGAAATTGTACCAAGGATGAGCTGCTCACAAATGGGAGGCAGTTCATGTCATTCTTTGATTCATGTCCAAACACATTTGGTTGTCTTGCACGCCTCACGCTAGAGAATTTGAGGTTAGGAGAATCGGCGTTCCCCAAATTTTTTAGTATATGCAAGCAACCGGAGTTCCTCTTCCTCCACAATTGTGACATGGGTATTCAGTCTTTGCTGGAAGTGGAACACCCGCAGCTCAGTGAACTAGTGATTGCCAGCGGCTGCTTTAAGAGGGTTCATCTGAAGTGGGCACCAAAGCTCACTATACTGAAATTTAGTATTTTTAGATCAAAAGATGATCCCTTCTGTCTTGGCTATGTCCCACTGCTCCAGACTGTGAGCATCATTAATACTGCTCTCTCTTGGCACAAGATGCTCAAGTTAAGTGAGTTGCTTGGTAAGACTGCCATAAGCAACCTGCATTTGAACTTCAGAAGCGAAAAGGTTAGTTAAAAGGTCCTCAATGTTGTCGGTGATGCGTGTATGTTTGGCTGGCATGTTGTAATCATTATTTGTGGATAAAATAATTCTGGATTATCCCCCTTTTGCAGATTTGGGTCAAACCGGAAGGTCGAAGGCAATTGTTACCTGTGTTCCACAAACTTAGGATTGTGAATTTGCTTAACATTCCTGAAGAATGCGATCTGACTTGGACAATGTTCCTACTCCAAGGTGCACCCAACCTTAAGGAACTACGCATCGTGGTGAACTCTTGTACCGATTCTCCTTTTCATTGTCTCATTTTCGAAGTTCAAACTTTTTTTAATAGTTAGGAATTAAATTATTATTTTTTGACCTGATTGAGTGCAGGTGCGGGATCATTTATGTTTAATGGTAACAGGGGAGGAGAGGAAGAATGGTGCATTTAGTGAGGAGAAGGACAAGGGACTGGAGTTGGAACCATCTGCATCTGATTTCAAGCACCACAACCTCGCTGGGCTCAGTATCTATGGGAGGTTTCAAGCAGAAGACAAACTCGTGAGCTATGCCAGGAGCATCATGCAAGCAGCAGTGAATCTGGAGGACATAAAGCTATACAAGAGTCCAGTGTGTCAAAGGTGCAAGCACATGCGCCAGGAGTGGACATTGGAGGAGAAGTCATCGCTTAGCTACAAAATAAAAGAGGGGATGCCCTCGCTTGTCCGGATTCACTTCCCGAGTTTAGGGGAAGTCTATTTTTAGAAAAAAAATGCTCTTGGGCTGCAAGCTGCAGATGACAGGAACTGTTGTACTATGCATGGATTAATTGTTGCAGTTGAACCTTTTCAGTCAGATGGTACTGGGTCGAGGAGGATAAGGTGTACTCTTATCCTTATTATTAAGTATATTTTGTCCAGTGGAAATTGTGGATATTTCTCTTATTCGTTTTCATTGTGAAATCTCTTAAAACACTGGATGTGGTTGCCGTGCTTGATGGATGTGGTTGCCGGCGATCTCCAGTGTGAGAGCATCTCCAGCCGTTCGGCCCCCCAGGGCGCATAAAAATCGCCCCCTGGGGGCGAGCCGGCGATTCTTTCGGTGCTGGGGGCGGTTTTGCGCCCAGTCGTTGCCCCAAGCTCGCCCCCAGTCGCCGATTTTGACCCCCTTTTTCGGCGAAAAAGGCCCATATGGGCGAGAATAGGCCCATATTCGGCATGGTTCGCCGTGGCTCGGCATTCAATTATCAACATTAATTACCCTAAAAAATCAACATAAATAATTTTTATCACATATTTCATCATAGAAATTTCAAGGACTTCAACAAAATAGTACAACAACAAATAGTTCAATACAAATTATATAGTTCAACAAATAAAAACTCATATTTCATCACACGTCGCGCCCGGTGTCGCCCTTGAGCCTCCATAGGTGCTCTATCAGATCTTGCTGCAGTTGATGATGCACCTGTGGGTCTCGGATCTCCTGACGCATACTGAGATAGGCAGTCCAGGTTGCCGGTAGCTGGTGATCAACTTGGGCAAGAGGACCCTGCCGGTGGTATGCTTCAGTGTCAAACATTGGCTCCTCCTGCTCGCTCTCAATGATCATGTTGTGCAAGATGACACAGCAGGTCATGATCTCCCACATTTGATCTTTCGACCAGGTCTGAGCGGGGTCCTCGTCATCCGAGTCCATCGCCGAGGCAGGCAAATCGCCGAACACCTTGCGCGCGGTGGGCGTGCACCCGCCGCCAAACTGCCCCTCCGTGGCCGGAAAGGGCGGCCGGAAACGCCCAGTTGGTGCCGGAGGGGTTGTCGCCGGGATATACCTACTTGCGGCCGAGAGCGCGGGGGGTGGGAGGCGGTCGAGGAAGAAAATCTTGACTTTTCACCTGACGGCGTGGGCCAGCCGCGCTTTTCCCTTGCGCCGGAGCCCCCAGGTGCCCCCCAGCGCGCCGGGTTCGGCCTGCGGCCGCCGGGCAGAAAAAGGGCCGAACCGGCGCTTTTTGTCGTCCTGGGGGCGCGACTGGGCCGCTTTTTTTGCGCCGGCGCCGAAAAAGTGGCCTGGAGGGCCTGTTGGGGGCGCGGCTGGAGATGCTCTGATGGAGCAATGCCAAGACGCCATATCTTGCATGTACTACTTGTTGCAGCGTTACCCTTCTAAGTTTACCGCTCGATAAGGCATTAAGTGTCTTTAAGATTGCTGTTAGGACAATACTGCAATTCAGGTTGTGAGCTTAATCACTTATTCCTGAGCAGAATGGTAGTATTTGCTTTAAGCAGAGTAGAAAAATGTTCAGTGTTTATTTTTGTGTATATACGAGTAGCTCAAAACTTGTTGCCAAAAATAGAATAACTCATGTCTTGCTCGAACTAGACAAGACCCATTGATCTTTCCTTGAGATAGATTGTCTTTGTCGCGTAAGGACTATAGAAAATTTGGATTAAGACATGGCAAAGCTACAGGATATAGAGTACAGTTTTATTTGGTCTAAAATAAATACACGGACAAACTTTTTCACATATGTAATTTGTATGTACTGCCTCATAAATCATTTATGTTTCGTAGAATGGATGGTCCATCGTGTGGAAGCATCACGCGGAATTGTAGTCATCGATGAAGGACTTATGATGGTGTCCAATGACTCTGACAATATGAAAAATTAATCTATTTTGCAGTTGGTTATTGATTGCTGGTTAGAGAGGAACAACTACAATGGTTGTCTACAAGATGTTTCTAGTTCATATTTCCTGGTTGATGTATTCAAACCCCTCTTTTCTCCGTGAACGTCTGCAATTATCGAACATGTAAAAGTTTCTGGAACTTCAGCCAGGTACTCCCTCCGTCCGGAAATACTTGTCATCAAAATGGATAAAAGGGGATGTATTTAAACGTATTTTCGGACGGAGGGAGTATGTATTTAAGAGGTACTAATATTTAGGCCACCCATTAGTAGTGCATATAAAGGCATGGTCCTCAACCAGACAAACAAACAATTTTTTAATCGATATATACGCAGGACTACACTGAGCTAAAACCACTATGATACAGTTAACATAGCTGCAATCTAGGACATGCTGTTGTAGATTGATGTGTTTAGAAACATAAACAAATACAATTTCCTGATGCGCCCTATGAGCCTTCCCCAACCCTGCCCATGTTATTTGGGCATCACAATTGCTACAAACCCCTTTCTTTTAGAACAGTTGCCGATTTCGTTTGCAGCCTAGAGAAGTTGATCACCATAGCATCTGTGATAACAGTGAACTGTAAATAGCATACCGAGGAAGCATATTATTGGATATATTTGTTTTGGTGCTATCTCTATGAATAGACGAATACTAATCCTCGTCGAGTAAAATAATAATGACCATATTGTCTTTATTTCTTTTGTCATATTGGATTTATAGCTGACCGTCTCCCATAAGTAAAAACAGATGAACCTGAAGCATTATGTACAATAAATTGTTGTCATCCTTCAGATGAACACACTGCATGTTTTGGTTGGATTTATTCAACAATCTGTCCTGATAATTGCCAAAATCGTGTGACATATGTCATGTTTGGTAGATGTGACCATCTATTTGGTTATCCATATGTTGGTCTCCATATCTTCTATTTCGGCAGTAGTTCCGAATAACTAATAATGATGAACATCTGTATGGCAGATTGAAAGTACCGGGTTTTAGTTATTTGATTTTGTTTCCTACAGTTAAAAAGCAGCAGGAATCATGAGAAACTAAAACATCCCAGTGTCAATTAGGTTTCGCGGAGCTTCAGGGACCTGTTTATAGGTACTACTTCAAAGCAGGAGTGATTGTTCCATACAGCAGGAATCATGTTGCTTTATATGAATATATATATCAAGACAGGAGTGGAATGTTCCATACTTGGTGGTAATGACGTGGTCATTTTTGTTTATTTATAAGCTAGACAACCTTCCAAAACCCACAAAGGGGCTAATATGTTGGTCCACTAATAATTCGTCGCTACCACCAAAACCCACAAAGGGGCTAAGATGTCTTTCCACAAATACTCCCTCCGTTCCAAAATAGATGACTCAACTTTGTATAAAGTTAGTACAAAGTTGAGTCATCTATTTTGGAACGGAGGGAGTACATGGTTTTGAATACCAAGGATGCAAAAAAAGAGTACCAAGGATGCAGCCTCCAGCTCATTGGTCACCTCATTGGTCACATATCCCTTCTAGTGCAATGCCTGCGCCATGGTTGAGCGATGGGAGAGCTGTTGCTCATACAGGGACCTAAATATCTTATACTTGGCGTCATGGTATTTCTTCACCCTAGGATCCGAAGACGGGCGCACAACCTGGAAAGAGCATTTTTGTGATTCATCAGATAAATCATGTAATAAAACAAGAGAATTCCATCCGGTTTCGCCAGGCCGACTCAGACATGCACGCGAAGCTAGCAATATCTATCTATTCCGACTAATAAATGAAATATGTATTCTTGGTCTGTCATGCTATTTTATAGAAAAAAAACCTGATGTCCCCGGAAGCAACCCACAGTTCAGTTTTAAGTCAGATTTTTTATTTTTCCAAGCGCCTGATGGTCGAGCGGAGCGAGCTGGAGGCGGCACAATGCGTCCGCAACGACTACATCACATGAGGTGCACCCTCACATTCTTCGACGAGAAGAAGCACAAGAGGCAGCAGCGGGCCGCGGCCAGGGCCGAGTGGTGCCGCCGGCTCAAAAGAAAAATCTTCGACAGTAGTAATCTTATTAATCTTAATCTGGGGCTGGTACTACCAAAGTGCCACTCCTCCAGGTCAACAAGCTTGGAGTCCAAGCCCGACAAGGTCCGGCCAGGCCCGGTAATGTTTCTCGACACCAAGGAGCAACATCAGCGAGAAGAGACGAAGAAGATAACAACAATGGTGGAGGAGATGGCGTGGGCCTGCACACCGCCAACAAGTCAGATTCTGTAGCGTGGGCCTGCGCACCGCCAACAAGTCAGATTCTGTCTTCCAAACCGCGCGGACAAATCTCCTAGTACTCATGCTGTGTGCAATACATATTTGTTTCAGAAGATTCGCTTAATGTAAAGATGTTATGCTATATCAACTGTATCACATCACTAGAATTCAAGGTAAATTGTGTTGCACACCTTGTTCTGCGTACGTGATCCAAGACAATCAAAATGTTCAACGAATTTGGGTGGATTTCTTAGCCAAAATCAAGAGCTTCAAGTCAAGAATTCTCAAAATTACTGAGTCCTTTTCTACTTTCTCTTTTAGTTTTTTTGGCTGTTGTCTTTTTTTCTGTTCGCATACCTTTGTCATTTGGACATGCTTCAAATACAAACAAACCTGCATTTTTTATGCATATTCGAGAAAAGAATATACCTTCCCCGCTGCATTCAGTGCTTTCATTGCGTCACGAACACCAGCAAACTTCTTTGCAGCAACACCACCCAGAATAGCAGCACCCAGAAGCACATTCTCGTTTTCTCTAGGCAGTATTATTGGACAACCTGTAAAGAACAAGTTAAATTTCAGAGAGCAGCGAGAGGAGGAAAAGGAGGGAACTGGCTGCAGGAAGAGGAGACTTGCCCGTGATATCTGCATGTTCTTGGATATACAAGGAGTTCTTTGCAAGTCCGCCACACGCAAGAAGGGTGTCGATCTATTATACATGACGGAAAAGATATATATTCTAGCACCGATTCTATACCAAGTTACTTTTTCAGATCATTGATATCAAATAAATACCTTGTGCCCGTGAGCATTACAATGCTCC